TGAACTAGGCTATTTTTAGAGGGGTAGAAAACAGTCTTCTGGAGAGTCTTGGTCTTTTGCCTCTGATACCTGAATGGATGATATATAAAGATCGGCTCTATACTTCCACCTTACCTTGGCATTGATATGCTTTTTTTCTCCAATAGTGCAATCCCTAGTGCTTGTTTAATTCCAAGATTAGTCTCCTATCTTGCCTTTATTTACTCAGGCATGTGGTAACACAGAAGATGTTGAGACTGGCAGCTGTCTAACTGGGGGAATCAGAGTTAAAAGCCCTGGTACTATGCTGAGATGTAGTATTCACAGATGAAGATTATGAGCTACTGTTCCTTTGGAGTTCAAGTGGGCAAAATCATGGCAGAAAGGAAAAAAACAGTGAAAAGGAATTAAAGAAAGAGGTATTACAGAAACTGGAAATAAACACTTGGGGAGAAAAGGAATTTAAACAGTATATGGTTGTTTTCATTGAAAAAGTTGAGAAATCATTTAGTAGTAGGAACTACATCTCCCTGCAAAAATTAAAATGTTTCATGGTTCACTGGAAACTCAAATGGATGGATCCCAGTCTAAACTGCTAGAACAAAACAATAGCAATATCTACATTACCTAAAAAATATTTTCAGTTTACCATTTTAGCTACTGTTATGTGGCAGAAGATTTATGCTCAAGACAAACAGAACCCAGATAGTACAGTTTTAGATATAAGAATCTTGAAAGGTACCTGAAAGGTACTTTGTAAGATGTCTGGGAAAACTGCAGCATTATGAGGTGGCATATATGTTTAAGTTTTGTAACTTGTCCTAGCTACAAATAACAAAATGATTGCTTACTGTAGTTGAAACGCGGCCACCAAAGGTTAGACTGGAAAAATAGTGGTGAGTTTTCTGGGTTTCTCAGCAGCAAAAGACATTTTATTTTTGTTGGTCAATCAAAGGCAGTCTAAGAGAAAATCTGTTAGAGAAGCAGAGAACATCAATGTGTAGATAAGTAGGGGGCTAAGAACAGCCTAGACCATTGATGTGAAAATGTCTGGATAACAAAGCATGCAGTGAACAGTTAAATTTATGTAACCTGAAATTTAAAAATTCTTTCTTTTCTCTCCATTGATCATACATTGTATAAGGTGCATATGTTAGATGATGATTAGAGCTGAGAAAGGTGTGTTATGATGCACATTAGGAGAAATTTATAAAAGGTGTTTGGCTTAGTGTCTTCCTTCAGAAGAAATGTAAGAAGGCAATAAGCTCTTTTACAGAATAAAGTAGGTGAGACAGTAGGAGCTGGATCTGCTGACAAAGAAAAATGGAGCTAAGTGATCAAAGAGATTTCAATAGCAGCTGAACAGTACATCATAGACCTGTGGATCTGAAATAGAAGCAGCAGTTGAAATATTCAATATTCAGAAAATATCCAGAGGTAACATTAGAAATTATTGGAAGCCATAGAGCCGAGTAAGGAAGCAATGGAGATTTGGAAGACAGCTGGGAGGGAGATTACTGGAGCTGTGTGGAAGTTGGGTACGTCGAGGGGAATTTGGAAGCTGTGGGTGGCCCAGATCATGATGAAAATGGTAAGTTACTGAGCACTGGGAACAACTATAGGGGGTTTATGACAAAATTTTACGCTTTCTCAGTAGGATTATTCATTTAACAACTTTTTATGTTTTTATACTTGCAGGATAGAACAAGCTTTGGAAGAACCAGATCAGCATTTGAAAACAATAGAATCACAGGTCTCAAAATGCAGAGATAATATGTTTGGACAGATGTGACTGTAATGCTGTCAGCTGCTGCTATTCCATATCAAGGCCTCTAATAGTAGCTGTTTATTCTTCAAGTCAAAGCGCTTGAAGACATGTGATTAGAGGCAAATATTAGCTTTTTTTAATTTTTTTTTAAGGGTGATTCTGAGAAAATCTTGAAATCATCACTCAAATGTACACTAACAGTTACAAATACACACAACAAAAATAGGCTGAAACTGTTTATTTTAAATCAGATTTTTCACAATCAACTCTTTCAAGACCAGAGCCACGATTTGCTAACATTTGATAATTAAATGATGTAACTGAGGGCAGAAATTGGTCAATAGATTCTGTTACAAATTATGACTGTGAAAGGAAGGAATGAAGCACCTCGATATTCAGATTGTATTTCCAGATTGTCAGCACTTTTAAAAGGCTGATTTTTTTTCCCAACTGATTTTTTCTCCCATAAAAATATTTTGTAATCAGAAAGAGAAAAAAAACAGTCAGAAGCCATTGTGACACAAAAACTTCAAAAGCCCTGAGTTACTTTGACATTTTTTCAGGGTGTAGCAATTTTTAGTATGGGAACTGGAAGGAGAATCATAGAGCAAGTTGTATGGTACAATTTGCAAAACTGCACTGCAGAGAAAGCAAGATGGGCAGAAATTTTTCAGTTTTATGTAAATCAAAGTCTCTTGGTAGTCCAATTTCTGCTTCTGATATTTAAAAGTCTCTTATTTTTCCTTGGCTCTCATACCTTTGCTGGAATTGCTTTCTGTTGCAGGAGCAGAATTACATATGCTTTCTCAGGTCCAGCTGACTCATAGTTGTTTCACTCTTTGTCCTGGCTAAATTGACCAATACTTACTGACAACTTGTTACCAGAAAACAGCATTTTCTTGTTCTTTGCTGATTATTACATCCTATATCGGGCATGACTGTTTCTAATCACAATGTGATGATAAAAGGAAGAAAGCAATTTCCTCTTGAAAGTTTTACTTTCTGCTGTTAGGCAGGTATTTTCTTTATTGTTCTCATTGAATCAAAAAATGATTTCTTTTTCTCTAGAATAGTAGAAAGCTTCAAGTGAGGATGGCACTAACTTTTGAATTCTGGGCTACTGTTTTAGTCTATCACAACCAAAGGAAAGATAATCATACTCAGCAGGTCAATCAGCATTATTTCTTTTGTATTACAGCCTCCACAGCTAGTTTTAATGACTGCAGTTTCTATATTGTAGCTACTGAATAAACACTAATTAGCTGTTGGGCACAAAAGTCTTAGTAGACTGAAAAGAATTGTCTGGGCATCCCACTAAGCCAGCAAATAATGGAATATGTACTAAATGTGAGGACAAGAGTTTTAACTGGTAACCTTACGAGAAAAAAAAAGGGAGTGGATCATGACAATCACCAAGTCCATTGTAAGGTTCAGTACTGACAAACATATATTAAAAAAATTCTAGGCAGGCCAAGTTGTTTTCTTGTCTTTTTCTGATTTTACAGTCCATTTTAAAAGTTCTAGTGTTGTTTTCAGTCAACAATGAAGTATGGTTTTCCTTTATTATATTATTTTGAAGTTAAATTGCCCTTTTCTGTCTAGCAATGCTTTTTGTTCTGATAATCCTGAGGTCATAGAAGCAAATTTTATTTTTCACAGATTTGAAACCTGCAGTCTTAATGGAACCTGAGATGTCCTGTCATAGAAGCTAAAGATTTTAGAGTAACCAGTATTAAAAATCACAACAAAATCAGGAGAGTGGACAAAATTTAGAGTTGCAAGTAACTCAGAATAAAATGTAGCCCACAAAATTAGTTGTTGAAGAGGATGTATGAACTGGAAGAATCACAGGTTTAACCTTGAGATGCTTTTATGAGCCTACAGTGCTGACAGTTAAACAAATTTCTTTTTCATTGCATAAAGAGAAAATACAAAGAGGACAAAGGGTGAGTGGGCCACTAAACAGTTATCATATACTGAGGTATCAGCAATGTATCAAACACTGGAATAAATTCTGGAATTATGCTGTGATAAGTCACAATACTTATTTTTCCCATTCTTGTCCATAAGCTGCATCCCTTGTTTACATTGCCTCTGCAATGATGTGATACTTAGCATGAAGTGTCTATGATTTATGCAAGTATATAGACCACCAGAGAATGGGAATGACAGCAACGCAAACTATTAGTCCCTAACTCCCCAACCCAAACCATTTACTACCCAGCTGTTGAATAAAACATTTGATTTGGGACATAAACTTGCTTGGTTTGGATTTTTATTTTTTTTAATTGAGAAAGTTACTTACTGGAATTCAGTGTTCGGTTGAAAAATTACCGATGGGACTTTTTGAGCAGCTCTAAAACTGTCTGTTCTAGTGAACTATGCAACACGGGTGTTTATTTAGTCATGGATTATCCTACTGACAGAACAATATTAAACATGTGTTCAACACCTTGCTCCTTGAGGCAAAGGTTTGCTTAAGGCAGGAAAACTGAGAAAGTTCTGAAGTCACTTATCCAATGCAATTTATTTATTTGTATACATACAACCTAAAACAGCTCACCTGAAAGCTAAGACCTTTTTGTCTTTGTCAGTTTTCAGACAGCAGTTTGGTCGTGAGCTTATTTCTAAGTAACGATCGACAAAAACATGTCAGTGGAAAATGAACAGTGTGTGTATAGAATCGGTCGTGGGTTATTTAAGGACAGCTTTGGTAAATAAAACTAGTTAGATATGGATCTAACTAAACACATACCTACCTATAGCTGTATTCGACAATTGCTTTTTTTAGGTGACGGTGTCACCTGAACCACATATTCCCATAGCCGAGCTCATGTGAGGATCTTCCCTTCGTGCCTCTCTTCAAGTGCGGGAGCGAAGCGCAGGCAGAGCTCTGCACGCCTAAGGCACAGCCCGGCCGAACGCTCCAGAGGCAGGACAGCAGCTGGGGGGTCACCTGGGCTTGGAGCTCGGGACGTGGAAGAAGAAGAAGAGGAAGAGGAGGAGGAGGCGGAGGAGGGGCAGGGCCCCCCCGAACGCCCCCCCGTGGCCGCTGGGCCGCCGGCGTTACCTGTGCCCCGCGGCGCCCGCTCGCCCGCCAGTCCGCTCCCGGGTCCCTCCCGGTTCCCTCCGCTCGCGGGCGGCGGGGCGGGGGCGGGCCCGCACCGCGCATTTGGCCCGCCGCGGTGCCCCGCTCCTCTGTTTCCTCTCGCCGCAGCCCGGACCTCGCCCGCCGGCCGCGCTCGCCCCCGCCATGCCGAACATCGTGCTGTTCAGCGCAGCTCCCACCACGACCTGGTCCCAGGCGGGTGGCGGACCGGCTCGGGCTGGATCTGGGCAAGGTAGTCACCAAGAAATTCAGCAACCAGGAGACCAGGTGCGTCCCCGACCTCCCTCCCGCGTTACCGCTCTCACGCCCTGCCAGCGTACGGTGCGCGCCCTGACACACCCCGCCGTGCGGGCTGCTGCTGCCGGCGGTCCCCGCCCGTGTCACCCGGGTCTCGCGTGGGGGTCCCCCCCGCAGGTGCAGATGCAGGCGCGGGGACACGGGGTGGTCCGCTGTGTCATGGCCGGTCCCTTCCTGGTTGTCCCACCCTCCCTGACCGCCTGCGGAGCACGAGCACCGCACGGGAGGCGTCCCGGCTGGCTTGTGCTGGCCCGGCTGGGCAGTGCTCCTGTTGGGTGCTCTTAGGACGGAGCAGGGCTTGCACGGCCTCGGCCGGGCAAAGAGCATCCTGCCTCCTCTGAGGTGAGGATGGTGTTTGCAACAGGCGGCCCGTCTGCGGCAACAGGTGCATCCCACTGCTCGCAGATAGTTAACTATGCAGTTGGTCAGCTTTGTCTACCTGAAAAAAAATCATCTTGATTTTATGAACTACAGTATGTTATGTAGTTTTGTAAGGACAGGATGGTGATGACACTTGAAAAAAGGGCAAATCACAGAATTTGTTGCAGCCGGTCGTTATTTTGCATCAGCAGCCAGTTGTGCGTGTGGTGGACTGATTACAACTCCTGTGTGGCTTCCCTCCATAGCCCAAGACTGATGGTCATGCGTGAGGGTAATACAGTTGTTGTGATGGCCTTGGCTTACTCCTAAAAGTACTCGTTTGGTTAACCGTGGCCAACGAGCATCTTCTGATGCGGTCAAACAAAGTTTAAGAGACAAAGGCATACACCTTCCTTCAAAGGTGTACCCAAATTGACACTTGCATGCTGGAACATCAGAACCATGCTTGATACTGCGGACAGTGGACGTCCTGAGCGTAGTTCTACCCCAATTGCCCACGAACTGTCATGTCTCACCATCAACATTGCTGCTCTCAGTGAAGTTTGTCTCCATGAGGAAGGCAACCTTAGAGAACATGGTGCCACTTACACACTCTTTTGGTCAGGTAAACCCAGAACCGAAAGGCATCTCTCAGGAGTTGGCTTCATGATTAAAAACTCTATTGTCCCTAAACTTGAAAATCTGCCGACAGGTCACTCTGACCGCATTATCTCCTTACGCCTTCCACTACACAACAAGGAACATGTTGTCCTCTTTAGTGTATATGCGCCAACTCTCCAAGCCGACCCTGCTGAAAAAGATAAATTTTATACTGACCTGTGCCGCCTTACCCAAAAGATACCTGCAGATGATAAGATCATTAAATTTTATACCAATTCCTAAAAGTGCAGTCATACCATGCTCCTGGCCAGCCAAATGCAGAAAATAACTCTGGCAACAGTGCAAAAAATTCTGCATGAAACTATCAGGATAGCTTGCTCACCTTGACTCTCTGAGAATGTGCTTGCCAGTGCTTTTTCTACCAATATTATTTCTCTTTACTAGTTTGTCATCTTAGCTTTCTGACCCACCTATTTTGCTCAATTTTAATGAAGAATTTTAAATTCAGGTGAAAGTGGTACGTTCATCCCATGAGCTGGTATGACTGTGCAGCTGTTTTCTATATAGATGTGTCAGTCTAGGCTACCAGCTTATTCTGAAACACAACTTTCTGACTATAAGTAGCTGACTAGTCTCTGAAGTTCTTGTATGTTTATTTTTATCTGTTCTTCTTCTGAAACTCCTGAAAAAGTGTGTTTCCATTGCTTCCTTTGAAAGATTAACATGATGTATTCTAAAGTTGCTCTCACAAAGCTTGTCCCTCTCTTCTGTCTACATTTTTGCATTCTCAGTTTAATTGCTCTTGTTCTAGTTATGCTCACTGGCATTACTATAAACCCTCTTCCATTGGTGTTTATGCAACCTAATGTTTGCACACTCTAGCTCTTCTATTCATTCCTGATTAAATGAAAGCTTAAATCTTCTCTCAAGTCTTTCCAGCCTCATACTCACTTTATTGCTCTTTGATCTCTTTCTGCATGATAAAACTTAATTTGTGTATTTGGTTGCATGACTTTCTTGCTAACTTGTCTAATTTATTTTTTTTTAATGTTGGTTCTCCAGAGACACTTATCTTAATTTCTGCTTAAAACATAACAAACAGCAGAACTAAATTGATTTAGATTTTTCATCCAAGGTAGAAGTTTATCTCCAAAGTTTGCATATTTATTTTACGAGGTAAGTTAAACTCTAGGTAAGTTAATCTCTAGTCTGTCATTCCACCTATTTTTCCAGGTGTGGAATATTGACCTCTGCCATTAACAAAGAAGGTAGTGGTGGCTACAGTATGTCAGTGGTTTGGCTAATCTCGTAGTGCCAGTTTATTTTCTTAGGCAAGTAGGGATGTAGTGTGGTGTAGATATGAGGAATGTACTTAACAGAAACATGTTTCTAGTTGCTTCTGTTGCAACACCATGATGCTGACATTATCTTTCTTTTATTCCCTGAACTACAATGCCTTACCACTTTCAATCTTTGTGTTTGGTTTAGTTGGGGTTTTTTTGTTTTGTTTTTGTTTTGGGGGGTTTTTTTGGTTGTTTTTTTTTTTACAACTTTCTACTTTTGAGATTCTAATATGAAGTTCTTGTTTCCCCTTCAGCAAATAAAGTTGTATCCTCTATATAATGTTTTAAGTGGGTAATTTTTGCAATATCCTTAGCAACTTATTTCGAGATATTGACTTTCCAGTTTTCCAGATTAATGTCCTTAATAAAAAAAAAAATAATTAGCAATAGTAATAAGAGAATTCCTCAACAATGTGTTTGAGATTAAACTAAAGGTAAAGTTGATATTTGTGCTGCAGTGGTCCTTTCGTAAGGCATTTGGATTTTCAGTGTACCTATATAACAAAATTTCATTGTGTGTGTATGTAAGAAAAAATTCTTCCCATATCAAGTGAATCATGCAGTCTTTTTTCCCCCCTTATTTTTGTTGCATTTTTAAATTTATAAACTAGTGTATTGGCATTACAAAATACACGTGTAGTATTGCAGAATACTAGAACGTGATAGTTAAAAAGCTCAAAGAACTGTAAACCTTCCCAGTGGCAGTCGGTCAAACCCCTATGCAAACAGATAAGCCTGGGTCTGAGGGTCAACAAACTCGTTTTGTCAGATCTGTGAAGTTAGCAAGTTGCAGAGAAGGTTTACCTTTTGTTAAAAACTCTATTTTGCTTTTTGCTGCATTCTCTTAAATATAAATGATGCCTAAATTGATAGCTGTGTGCAGCCCAGCCCCAGGCTTAAAATCCTTGTCAAAGGGTTTGGGCTGGAAGCTCTTTACTGGAGGGAAGAGCCATCAATTTCCACTCAAACACGCTTTAGGTTTCAGTCCCAGTGCATAGCAGGTGTAAGTGGGTTTGAGAAAATAATGCTGAGGTTAGCCAGGGGTAGGACCACTACTGACAAGCACTGTGGCTAAATAGGCAGGTACAGTCCCAACTCCAGAACATTTAAAATGAGAAAGGCTTCTCTTCTTAGTTTATTCTGAGACTGGTATATCTAGTGGTGTCACAGTTCTCTTTTGATTTAGGCATTCAGTATTCTTGCAGGTGTGTAACTGATGAATGTAATGTTTGTGCTAGGGGAAGTGAGGGAAATTGCTGGTAGACTCAATCACTGCCCCTTTTTTTTCTTCCCTCCCTCTAAACTGTGTGGAAATGCTTTCCTTCAGCTGGATACTAAAGTCAAGCAACCCTAACAAATGCAGTGAGAGAGCACCTCAGTAATATCTGGTTGTGGAAGATAAGTCTGTTTAGTATTCAAAGCTTCTGTGTCCGTTATGTGCCAGCCACAGTGCCATGGTAGGAGCTTGGGTGGCACCACCTTATTTATTTGGCAAAATGATAAGGGCTGCAGTGGGGGGCTTAGTCAGTTTATCTTCTTCAAACCCGACAAGCAATTGTCATCAGCAGAGTTGTGCAGGCTGGAGGAAGAAGAAAGGAATGGAAGTCCTTAAACAGGGGTAGCTGTTGTAGCCCCAGCATCGTGAAGCTCTGTTTTACAGACATGTAACAGATGCATACAGATATTAAACACACTGAAGCTTTTCACAAAATTGTCTCCAAATACACTGAGATGGCATTTCATTATAGTTGATACACAAATAAACCCCAGTGCAGATATTTTTGGTGACTCAACTGAGTTTTTTAAAAAAAAATCATTGAATGTATCACTTCAAAATAAATATATTTTCTTACAAGATATGGTATTCTTGCTTCTCTAAAGACTATTTATTTTAACTCTGCCCTTAAAGTACTTTTTATTCTCAAACTGGAGAAACTAGAGTGGTAGATGGCATTCTTTTACATACATCTCTCCTGGTGAAAGAAGTTGGGGGCTCCCGCCCATTCCTGTGAGCTTCCTTGCTTCTTCCTGTCAGATTCAGTGTCTGAAGTGAATATTTTCTTGATCCAATAGGAAGGGAGTTGAAGTCCTACCTGGCACATGTGAATTTGAAGGCTTCCTACCCACAGCCTTATTTAGCTACTGAAGCTGGGTTGTTTCAGAAACATCAGCTTAAAGTGAATGCCATTTAGCTTTTGCAGAGGGAAATATGGCTTGACTACCAAGGGACATTGCTGCTGGGTGGGAAAAGCTATGCTATTGGTATGAGGGCCATGTGTTTGTAACTAAATAAACAAAACTAGTATCTTGGACTGAAATTTAATCTTGGAAGTTAGGGAAAAAGTAGTGAATGTTTCCTTGGAGAATTCATGCAAGGATGGGTTTGGGTCTCTATTTCACATAAAGTGGGGTAATGAAACTGTTTTTTTCTATCGAGTAAATAATTGAAAGAATCAAGAACAACTTATATATCAGGAATGCACAATTCAGCACCTGGCTGTAAAATATCCCTCTTATCTTCCCTTCAGCATCCTCCAAATCTTGTACTGCAGTTGTCTCAGATGAGACATGACCTGATTGCATCTCATGTAACCTGGTTTGAGTTCAGCTGATGTGGAGGCCAGGAGCTGCATCACCCTCTCTGGA